GGCGGCCGCGCCGTGGGCGGGGCCCGGCGCCGCCGCCAGCGGCGCCGTGGCGGCGCGCGGCGGCTTGGCCAGCGGCGGCCTGCCGCCGGCGCCGGGCGAGCCGGCGCCGGCCGCGTACTTTCCGGTGGGGGTGGAAAGTGCGCGCATCATGGCGGGCAGCGACACCTGCAGCCACATCAGCGGGGCCACGCAGAGCGCTCGACGTTCCAGCAGCCCACCCCTTCCCCAGAGCAAACGACCGGCCAGGCCGCCTGGCAGGCACACGCTCGCCCCCTGCCAGCGCTGGGCCTGCAGGCAGGCCGGGCCAGCCTGCGGAGACCTGGCCCCCACTCACCGCCTGCGGCGTGGATCCGTAGGGCGAGTCGTGTGGGGAGGCGGGGGATGGGAGGTCGGCGGGTGGGTAGGTGGGCGCGCGGTGCGGCGAGGCGCCGCGCATGCTGGCGCTCCAGCTGCGCCGGATGGGCATGCCGCCCGGCCGCTCCGCCCCGCCGCCCGGGCTACCCCCCGCCTGCTGCTGCTGCTGCTGCTGCTGCGCCTGCGGCGAGGCCAGCGCGCCCCGCTGCTGGCGTGCGTGGGTGGGGGTGGGCGGGGAGGGGCCGCGCCCCGCGCCCCACCCCTCCGCCGCCGACGACATGGCGTGGCGCAGCGGGGCGCGGCCGCTGCCGCCGCCGCGCGCCGCCGGGCCGCCCACGTAATCTGCTATGATCTGCGGCAGCGGCGGCGGCGACGTGGTCTGCTCCAGGATGGTAACGGTGGTGGCTGGCTGGTAGTCCACGCCGATGCGCAGCTGGCCATAGGGCGTGTCCACGGCGCCAAAGCGGAACGACTGCATGCGGCGCGCGCCGGGCGCCGCCGCCGCCGCCGCCCCCGGCAGCGTGCTGTGCAGGCGGTAGCCGAGGGTGAAGTTGCTGCCGCGCTGGCGCTGCAAAGGGGGAGGGGCGGCGCGGGGCGGGGGCGCATGGGCAGCCACGCGCCGCGAGCATGGCGGGGGTGCCGCGGCATGCCGTGGCATGCGGCTCCCGCAGCGGCCCGGCCTCCCCCAGCGCCCCGCCCGCTCACCTTGCACGCGCGGTACATGCGGTACGCTGGCAGCACCCGCACGTACGTGTACAGCGAGCGCAGCGTGATGACCAGGCGCTTGTACACGGAGGAGGGGTTGAGGCGGGAGATTTGGGAGCGGGACAGGTGGGAGGGGCCCTCTGGCAGCATGGGGTAGTAATGAACCACCCACCGCTCAAGCAGCGTCTCCGCTGCGGCGCGGGGAGGAGGGGGAGGGAGGGAGGGAGGGGAGGCGTGAGGGGAGGGATGAGCAGGGGCGGAGGGAAGGGCGGAGGGAGGGAGTCGCGGGGCGGGCGGCGGGCGCGGCTTGGCTGTGCCAGGCCGCGTCGGCGTTGCTTCGCTGCGGCGCAGAGCCCCGGTGCTGTGCTCATGAGCTGTCCTGTAAGCTGCATTGCTGGGCACAGCCAGGGAGCCCCCGGCCTGCCGCTCAGGTTGGCTCACCCTTGTCGGGCTGCCCGCCAGCGGCGGCGCCCCACGGCTGCAAGAAGACCTGCAGGCAGGCAGCCGGGGCGGGGTTCTGGTGCGTGCCAGGTCCAGGCGGAGGGGCAGGTGCTCGGTCCAGCTGCGATCACATGAAGGCCTCGCGGCGCTTGCACCCGCACCTCCAACACCAGCGGCAGCCCCGTCTCACGGCGCCACCGCTCCAGCGCTTTGGACGCCCCTTCCACCTCGTCCACCTCCAGGTTGAACTGCAGAAGGCGGCGGGAGGGGCGGTGAGGCGGCTGGCAGGGACTTGCGAATGACAATGGCGCCAGCCTCACCCATGCTCGCCCCTGGGCCTGCGGTGCCTTGCTCTTGGGCCTGTATATTCTGCTCTCCAGGATAACCTGCCCGGCCTTGACAAAGGCCTCCCCAACCACGCGCTCGAGAGAGGGAGGGGCCGCAGGCCCACCGGAGGAGGCCATGGCTGAGTGGAAGTAGCAGTGGCAGCGTTCCCCACGATGGGGACTGAGGGGAGGGGAGCTGGGCGCCCCAGTTTTGAGCACCTCACCCTGTCCTGTCTACCTGGCGCTCCTCATCCGAAACAGCCTGGGCCTCGGGCTTGCCAATGCACGATGCCACGACCCCGAGAACTGTCCGGGACCGTCTCGGGCAGGAATCCCGGCGGCCGCGAGCAGGCGCAGGCAAGCGCCGCTCGTCGGCGCCGGCGGGCAGCGCCGCCCGAGGCGCCGCCGCCGCCCTGACCAGCAGTGCGGGCTTACAGCACTCAGTCCCAATTGATAAAATAGATGAGTTGGCTAACGATTTGCAGGTATGAATTCCCAGTGCGGTCAAAACTGTGTCCCGGTGTCACGCCAGCCGCCCCCCTCACTCCCCCTTGTCCGCCCTGCGTGGCGCCGCCGCCGGCCGCTCCTCCTGCGCCGCCGACGCGGGCAGCTGCGCGCCGCCGGGCCCCTCGCTCTCCCCCACCTCGCTGAACGGGCTGCGCGGCGGCTGCGGCTGCGGCGTGGGGCCGGTATCGGGGCTCCAGGGCCGGCGAGGCCCGCTGCCCGCTGAGGACAGCATCTGTACCGCGCTGCCGGCCGCCCCGGGCGTGACGCTGCCGGCCGCCGCGCCGCTCAGCGACGGCGCGCTGCCCGCCAGGCCCTGCAGGCGCAGGGCCGCGCCCGCCAGCGCCGCCGCCGGCGACAAGCCGCTGGCGGCCGCCGCCATGCTGCTGCTGGCGCGCCAGGGCGACTCCAGTCCGCCGCTGGACAGGCCTCGCTCCCCCAGCTCAATGTCTGGCGATCCCTCCATGCCCCTCAGCACATCCTCAAGCTCGTTGGCGCTCCTGGAGCGGTTGAGGCGGCGGTGGCCGGGCCGGCCGGGCCGCCCGCCGCCGCCGCTCAGCACGTCGTCGGCTCCGCCGGCGGCCTCCGCCTCCAGGGCGGTGCGCACCAGGAAGGTTGGCGCCGCCAAGTCCACGCTGCAGGCGGGAGGTGCCGGGCAGGGCGTGAGGTCGGCTGGCGTGGCTGGCAAGCAAAGAGCGGGGAGGGGCGGCTGCGTGCGCGGCTCCGGGGCGGCACCCAGGCGGCCACGCAGCGCCGCACGCCTGTCCCCCTGCCCCTGCTCCCCACCCCGCCCCTCCTCCCCGCCCCTGCCCCCGCCCCCTGCACCCGACCCTTGCCGCACCTGCGCCGCGCGGTACCGGCGGTGAATGATGAGGCCATGGGCATGGACCAGATTGAGAAGGCCGCTGCCTCCTCGCCCTCGGACCGCAGTCCCACCGAGGCGCGCATGAGCGCCGCCACGTCCCGCACCCCCACCCCCCAGTCCGCCACCAGGTCTCGCATGAGGGAGGGCGGGGCGCCGGGGCGGCCCGGCGCCGAGGCCGCGCGGGGCGCGGGGGACAGGCCGCCGCCCGCCGCCGCCGCTGCCTCGCCCTCGTCGCCGCGCCGTGCCGCGCCCAGCGACGCCGCCGTGCGCTCGACGCCCGGCGTGGCGTCGCCGTCGGCGGGCCAGGCGGCGCTGTCGCAGGTGCCAAGATCCACCAGCTGTGCGCGGGACTCCTCGCCCGCGCT